ACACTGTGTTATCTCTGACTCCAGCATCAGCAGTTCTTACTACCTCTTACTTTGATCTGACTTGTTTCCTCAACAGAGCCTTAAATTCTTTCCCTCATCAGAAAAGTGATCTATGTGTCAGTCTATGAATGGCTTGTACCAAAACCTTTGTTTGATGTCACGGCACTAGGGCCAGAAGCACATGCAACATTGATTTCTCATACATTTGTTCTTCTCAGTCACTGCTTGGGTAACTTGAGTAATGCCTCTGTTAGACCAGCAGAGGGCAAGAGCAAGGTGTTCCTGTGTGAAATGTATAGAGCACATTCTGAAGTTTCCAAACACTTTCACATCACAAGCAAAACACCAGCTGCTAGACAAATGATTAGACTGTGACACTGTAACAGTGAGCACAGTGTCCCTCTAGACTCCAGTTGAGTTGTCAACTGGGATCAAACATATCAAAAAATTGCTGGAGAAACTCAGCAGGTTTGGCAGTGTCTGCGCAGAAGAAACGGAGATAAATGTCCAGTCTGGTGACCCTTCTTCATGACTGGTTATTGAAGAGATTTAATGTATTCCTGGATGTTTCAACACATCATTGCCCCATTGCTTCAGCCATTGATGAGCCAACACATTCATCTGTGTGATGCACTACCTCCCAGCGCCAATCTGGATGGTGCTTGACTGTCAACCAATTAGAAGTTTTTCTCCCATTTTCAAGGTTTTTTTAAAATATCTGGTATCTGCTGTGTTAACACTTTAATTATAGTATAAATTCCAGTCCAGTCAACCCTGTGCCTTTAAGTCAGTTACATTAGGATATGTAATGTTTGAGTATAAATGTACCCGCTCTCACCCTCAGTCACTCTCTCTGTGGCATGGAGTCAGTAAGTGTGGTCAGTCAGTCAGCTATCTTGTATGTGATATGCAGTAAGATTAGTGAGCACAAAATCCACACTGTGTGTAAATCTGTGATATTTATCCGTGTGTCGTCAATGAATTTCAAGACATCTGTCTCAACAAAGACCTGGCTCTTTGAAATGCATGATATATGGACTATTATGTAGAAAACTGGGTTACCAGTCCACAGCATAACTATAATGCTAGCTTCGTTCCAACTCTCATGCCTCAGGTACTGTGGAGGTAAAGAATGAATAAATGCCACATATTTAGACAGCAAGGAAGGGTCGTCGATAGGGGAAGGGAAGGTAGCTGACCTTACCTGCTTTGGCGGTGGTGGGGGAGGTCATTAGACCTCATTTGTAAAAGAATCCATGCTATCAAGGAGGTAGCACTCAGTGCCTGCAGAAAGCGGTTATCACAACCTGGGCTTGTCTTTCACCACTGGCAGCCCCCTTCCCCAGCCCCCACCAATGCTCCAAGCGTGTGCCATGATGACCGATTGTGGCTGCAGTGCATCCAGAGCCAGTCGCTTGTGTGTTTAGTAACAAGAAACTTCACACCCCATGACTTATATGAACCAACCCCAAGGCCAGTCCCACTTTGTGAGGTATGTGAAGCTTTGTTATACCTTTATTACTATGACAGTGTATGGACCTTTAGGTGGAAAGGATTTTGAAAGTAACTCCAGAATGAAGAGTCTGGGAGAGTTTAAGCCAAATCATGGCTGCAAGTCAATTTATCAGTCGGAATGTCATAGCCAGAGAGTCAAGGAAACAGACCCTTTGGTCCAACCAGCCCATGCCGACCATGCTCCCAAACTAAATTAGTCCCCCCTTGCCTGCTTTTGGCCCATATCCCTCCAAAGATTTCTTATTCATGCACTTTTAATTCATACATTTTAAATGTTGTAACTACCTGCATCCACCACTTCCTCTGGCAGCTCATTCCACACAGTCTGTGTAAACCAGATACCCTCCTTTTTTTTTAAATCTTTCTCCTCATCCTAAAAATATGCCCCCTAGTCTTGAAATAGCCCACCCTAGGGAAAAGACTCCTGCCATTCACCTTATCTATACCCCTCATGACTTTATAAACCTCTATAAGTTCACCTTCGACCTCCTATGCTCCAGTGAAAAATGTCCCAGCCTCTCCTTATAACTCAAACCCTCCATTCCCAGCAACATTTTGGTAAATCTTTTCTGAACCTTCTCCGGAGGTTTGGAATCACAGCAGAGGTTAAACATGGCCCAAAACTTTGTGAATCAGAAACTCAAAGCAAACCAGGTTAGCGTTAATTGATGGGTAGGATATAAGGGTGATGAAAGTGGGGAAAAGTGGACCAAAGAAAGTAGTCAGGAACCTACAAAAAGACTATATTATAATATATTAATTATCAGATGAAACCTAAAACAAATAAAATAAATTAAGGACCAAAAACAGAAATTTTTGGAAAAACTCAACAGGTCTGGTAGCATCCATGGAGAGAAATCAGAGTTAACTTTTTGGTTCCAGTAACCCTGCTTCAAAACTGTTGGTAACTCGAAAAAAGTTGGTATTAATGCAGAAGATGGGGTGGGGGCAGGAAGGAGAGTAAACGGTAGGTGGAGATAGAGTCCAAAGAGAGGGGAAAACAGTTGGACAGACAAAAGAGTGGGTAACGTTCATTCTGGGAGAACAAATAGCTGGGACTGTTAGTAGCTGGTAATGGGTTATGTGTGGTAGCTGCCCAGGTGATAACAAGGCCTGGTGTGTGGGGGCTGGGGTAAGGACAAGGGAGAAGATACCTCAAGCCCTAAAATTGTTGAATTCAATATTGAGTCCGGAGGGCTGCAGGGTCCCCAAGAGGAAACGAGGTGTTGTTCTTCCAGTTTGTGTTGAGCTTTGCCAGAGCACTGCAGCAAACTGAAACAGAGATGTTTGCCAGGGAACAAAGTGGTGTGTCGAAGTGGCAGGTGACTGGGAGCTCGGGGTCATTTTTGCAGAGAGAACACATAAAGGATTTAGGGTATTGTATGTAAAAGCAGGAAGTTTTGCTGAACTTTTATGTACCTCTTGTTAGACCACAGTTAGGGACTAGTACTGGGCACTTTACAAAAGCTGTGAGGGTCCTCGAGAGGGCATGAGAGAGAGTTCTCCAAACAGAACTAAGGATAAGGGATTTCATTTACAATGTTGGAGTGGAAAAGCTGGGCTTGTTCTGCTTGGAGCATGTGAGGCTATGGGACGAATTTGATAGAAATGTAGAAAATTATATCAGGTTTTGATAGAACAGACAAGGAAAAGCCATTGTGATTTTTTTAATGGTACAAGGATTAGGTGGCATAGATTTAAGGTTTTGAGCAAATAGGTGGAGGGATGATTGTGTTTTTAATGCAGCAAATAGTAGTAATCTGGAACTTGCTGTCTGTAAGTGGGACAGAAGCAGAGGCAATAATTTATTGCAAAAGGAAATGGGATGGGCATTCCAAGGGAATCTGGAGATGGCACAGGGGAAGGGGAATGACTGGATTGCACCAGGTGGACTCAATGTGTCAAATGACATCCTGCTGTGCCCCAGTGATTTTATGACAATAACCCTATTGCACGTCATAGGAAAAGAAGTTTGACATGCACACTTAGGGTCAAGATTTTATCTGGGCCCAGGAAAACCCAACCTGCACAATTCTGCAGTTCGCAAAACGTACAGGTGGCCCACTGTGTGATTTTGCAAAGTTCTTTTCTCTTTTTGTTGGGAGTGAGGGTTGCAGGTGCTATTTGTGACCCCTGACCGAGTCAACACAGAGTGTGGTTGAGGAGGGCCAATAGGGAGGACCATTTTGGTTCTACATCACAGCAGCTC